CTCTGTGGCCGGTAAAAGTTTGCAGGAAAAAGTGTTCCATGGAATCCCAGACCGTAGGACACTGGGAAGAAAGTTTCCCCAGGTCCAGCTGTTGGGGATTCCACCCCCGTCCTTCTACCGTCCCATTCACTGTCCATCCCTGGGACCCGGAATTGCCCAGGTCCAGCGCCTCTTCCCTGGGTCCAACAAGACAGGAAACGACAGTGGAGCCGTTTGGACGCCAACAAAGCTGGCCGGCTCTCCCCCGCTTCCTCTGCAGCTGAACGAAAGTGAAAGCCCCGGTCTGTGGCGTAGAACAGGAAGGAGCAGCCGGCTCTTCTCTCTGCCTTGGCTGTGCACCCAGATTGGACAACGGTAGAAAAACGTCTTCCTCCCTTTTACTGTTGACACAGTTAAGGCATTTCCATAGAAATGTTACAACCCATCAGCGGATCATCTTACTCACTTGGAGCAGAACTCGAGCCCCGGTGGTTTTCCTACGGGAGCGTGTGGCTACCTTTAAAAAGAAGCAAAAAACAGATCAGTTGTGCTTTCACGAGCCCTTTGCAACACCGTAGAAAATCCAAAACCAACGGCAGCAATGATCAGAAATCGTTGGGTGTTGCAACATCCCTTGGACATTGTTCTCCTCCAGTAGGCAAGGTGCCCATCCTCCACCCGACATGTCCTGGGGGGCCCCCATGATGTCTTGAGATCGGGGCAGAACGTTCCCCTGTTGGTGAGTAAACTACAGATATTAAACACGGCCAGTGCCAGCTCCCTGCCCACCCCTCCCCAGCCACGAGTCTTCTGCCTGTATCTGTGCTGCCCTTTCCATCCTTCCACCAAGTCCCATGTCTCCGGATAGTTCAAAACAAAGGTCTCAGCTGTGGATGAGCAGCGGGGGGCTGTTTTTGCTGGGCTCACCGAAACCCTCCCCTAAGATCAAGATGTTGTAACAGAGATCGCTGGGAAGCAGCAAGAGGCGAGACTCAGCCTTCAGTGCGCTGGGGGGTGAGGAGGGAGGATTCTGGAGACACGGTGAGCAGAGCGGCGACAAGAGAATGTCCCTTCCCTTTACCGAACACCGCTCCGCTCATCCGGGTTTCCTCTCTAGAGTTTCCTGTCAGAGCAGCAGAGTTCAGCCCTGGGGTGGGCAGCCCCAGAGTTCACCAGACAGACCCCCTTTAGAACAATGGCTGCTGGGATTAATCCTGTTCCACTCTCTTTCTGCTATGTCACCTGGGCAGGTAAGTGCCCCCTGTTGTCCTGGACATCTGGGTCCCCTTCCCCACCCCAGTCTCACGCCTCCAGGGCTGGGTGCCGTGGGGCCCCCCAGATGCCTGGGTCCCCTTCCCCATGGCTATCTCCTTCTCGCAGGGCTGCACCGTCTCTCCTCTTTCCAGCTCATGTCACCCAAGCGGCTGAGTGTGCTGAGGGTGAATTCCCTGGTGCTCGCGGCCTATGATAGTGACACAGACAGATTGAATCCTCGCAACAGGTACAGCCCAGAAGACCAGCAGTTCTGGAGCGAGATTGGCACTTGGTACCGGGCCTGGGACTCCTGGGTGGAGACCGAGTACCGGGCCCTGGTGGAGGAGATAAAGACCAGCTCCCCACAGGCCGGTGAGTCCTGGGTCCCCAGTGCTCGGTGTGGCTCAGGAAGGGGGTGGTCAGGCAGCTCCAAGAAGCCAGGAGGGAGCTGAGACCATGGATATCTCAGGGAAGGGACCACAGGGGGAGGGGAGGATGGCTGGGAGCCGCTTAATGATCAGAGTGGGGGAGAGGTTATGGGAGCCAGGACCCGTGGGTTCTATGTCAGCCCAGGGAGGGGAGTGGGGTCTAGTAGTTAGAGCAGGCTGGCTGGGAGGCAGAACTCCTCTGCTCCGGGGGAGGAGCCGGGTCTGAAGGGTTGTACGGGCTGGAGGGCTGGGAATGAGGACTCCCGGTCTCTGTGCATGGGAGAACGTTGCTCCGTCTCTGCCTCCTGCCACGTCTCAGGGCTTAGTGGCGAGGTTGTTTGGCACCCACTTTCCCTCCCCTTGCAGAGCCCTACTGTGACATGCACGATGCCACCGGTGCTGCCCGAGTCATCACCAGATATGCCCTCAATGGGGAGGACGTGCTGTGGTACCAGTCAGAGCAGAACCGCTGGGTTTCGGTGCACCCGGCGGCCTGGCCAGTGGCGGAGCTCTGGAACGAGAAAGAGGCAAGTTTTGATGTGATGAACGTCCACACAGCACAGCAATGCCGCACCTTCACTGGGATCACTGCACCCTTCTCCGCTCAGCAGACAGGTGAGCGCTCTACCAGTGACCCTCAGCCCCAACCTGCAGCCCCCTGTTCTCCCAGGCCCTGTGACCAATTACCCTTTCTCTCTTCCCCCAGCTCAACCCACAGCCCATGTGACCCAGGCCCGGCCGTACCACTTCATCTGCCATGTGATGGGGTTCTACCCCCACAATATTGAGGTGACCTGGGAGCGGAGGTGGGGGCTGGTGGCCATGGGGGAGCAGCTGACCCATGGAGTACTGCCTAATGCGGACCCCACATTCCACATCCAGGTGTCAATTGAGCTGGGGAAGAGGGGGGCTGCCCCGCAGAGCATGTGTGTGTGGTGAGACACAGCAGCCTGGGGGGCGACCCCCTGCAGGTGACTTGGGGGAGAGGAGAGGAGAGGAGAGGCTGAGGGATTTCACTTTGTTCAGTCTGCAGACGAGAAGAGTGAGGGGGGATTTGAGAGCAGCCTGCAACTCCCTGAAGGGGGGTTCCACAGAGGCTGGCGAGAGGCTGTTCTCAGTGGGGGCAGATGGCGGAACAAGGAGCAATGGGCTCACGTTACATTGCGGGAGGTCTAGGTTGGAGATTAGGCAAAACTATTTCCCTAGGCGGGAGGGGAAGCGCTGGGCTGGGTTCCCTAGGGAGGGGGTGGAATCTGCATCCCTAGAGGTGTTTAAGTCTTGGCTTGACCAAGCCCTGGCTGGGATGATTGAGTTGGGTTGGTCCTGCCTTGGGCAGGGGGCTGGACTGGATGCCTCCTGAGATCTCTTCCAGCCCTGGGATTCTATGTAAGTGTCTGCAGCGCGCTGATCTCATCTCTCACGATAACAAGCTGCTCCATTCGTACCCAACACGTTTTGTATGTTCAGCTACGTTCGTGGTTGTGTCTACATGCTCGGAAATCGGCTCGGATCTGTTTTCTGTCACGTGATCACTGAACATCCATCCTCGGGAGTTCAGATGCTTTGGTTTTGCTTTCTCCACACCCTTGAGTCAGCGAGACGTGCGGGAGATTTTTATCTCAAGGGGCAAAGCTTCTTGCTCCTTCCTCTCTGCACTGAAGGAGGAGCTGGATTTTAGGATACTGCACACTTCCTTGTACCGCACACGACCACTCGGCTCATACTCCGGTGGGTCCGTGGGGGAGATGAGTCTGGCAACAGGGCGGATTGGCTGCTGCAGGTGTTTGAGTGGTGAGGGGGAGGCAGCTTAGGATGGGTGTGTGGTGCCACGGGTGTGTGGTGCCACCTTCTGGCTGTCCCCAGGCAGTGTGAGAGAGGCCAAGATGACTGTAGCTCCCACACGGCACCCCTAGGGGTGACAACCCATCATGTTAAACCTACAGCCTGTTCAAGGTTCACTACTCCTGTCCCAGGTGTTAGTCCCTCCAGGGTCACCTCATGTTCCAAGCACACCTGTTCCCAGTGCCGGCAAGCCCAACGGAAAGTGGAGTTACCAACCCACAGAAATTTCATTCCCAAACAAAATGGGAAAAATGTACGGACAGACACATTTTTTTACAGACATAATTTTTGTACTATATTAAGACGACATAAATGGCCAAAAACGGAAAGTCGTCATTGTCGTTCATCCACCACTAGAGCGACATGCTATTTAACACCCTTTCATTTAGTTAGTCATGGTCCTGGAAGTTTTCCCGTGACATCCTCTCAACTCTTGAGCTAAATCAACAAGGAAAACGTCCAATTCCCGCTGCCCTGCAGTGAAATGGCTGATGCAGCACGGAAGACATAAAATTGCTCTGGAATAATTGCTGGTTTTTGACATTTTATTGCACTTTTACTAAATTTACCGACACCGACATTTTTTTATGGACATGTCCAAAATCGGCTAATTATTACAGACTGTTCCAACGGAGGATCTCTTATTCCTACTTGGAAGTAGGAATAAGAGATCCTCCGAAATAGGGCTTTATTCCGGAGGATCGGGCCAGTCTAGACGCTTTTTTTCCGGCTTTTCCCCAAGCCGGAAAAAAGCAGCGGACTTCTTTATTTAAATCCCGCGGGGGATATTTAAATCCCCCGCGGATTTCCCTATTCTGAAGTTGAAAATTAGCATGCCCCTTTCAAAAAAGGGGCCAGTGTAGACACAGCCATTCTGTATATATTATATACTGTATATAAAGTGTTCTTAACCCTTTTTATTGTACATACCGTATACTGTAATGTTTTAGTTTTTTTAAGCCTTTTTTACCCTTTTTGCTCAATTCAGCTGCTGCCGGTGTAACCTTGTGACTCATTTTTTGCCGAAGCTCACTCACTAGGCTCTTGCTATTTTGATGCCGGACTATCAGGAGTGCAGGACTATTGGATGCCGGACTATTGGTGTTTTACTGTAAAAGTTCTTTCTTTTTAAATTAACCTGATAATGGTTCACTTTTGTGTCCTGGTTTTACTCTAGGACTGATCTTTCTACTGGTTTCTTACCTGCGGTTTTTATTCTCCAAAGTCGGGTATTAGGATTCTGGGGGGAGTTTTTGTACCAAAGCCTGGAGAGATCAGGTTTTGGGGTTGCTTCTGCATTCATCATTCCAGAGTGGGGAACAGCCTTGACAGGGGCCCAGAGCCAGCACCCATGCCCAGCCCCCCAAGTCAGTTAGACACCCCTCTACCCAAGCTGGCTGAAAATTAACTCACACACCTAGCCACTGGTCACAGCCCTCTCGGCAGCCCCACCACCTGTTCTGTCCTGCTTCCTGGGCCAACGTATTATCTTGATCACTGGTTGCATTTTCCCCTTGGATCAGGTGATAGGCCGGCCTGGACCATTCCCTATGGGCCTTCCCTCAGGAGTTCTTACCCAAGTGCCACACACACACAGACACACATACGCAGACACACAGAATCACTCCAGAGCAGCACAGGACAGTCAGTATCACAACAAAGCAAATCGAGTGCCTATGGTAGTGTTGCGTTAACGTTTTAAGACCCAAGAACACCACCCAATATTTTTTTTAACGAGGAACACCAAGAATTTTTGGTTGAGGAAAAAAAAAAGGTTGGGGAAAAGGATCAGGGTAAAAGTTATTTAGGAAAAAAGGGGTCAGGGAAAATTATTGAGCCAAAAAAAAAAAAAGGCACCTCTCCCTTTAAGAGTGGCCATTTTGAATTCTGTTGTTCTCCAAGGCTTCTGTTGTTGTCCGACTGCCTCTTGGCACTCCGGTGTGCTGTGGAACACAGCTTAAGAAACACTGGCCAACAAAATGCCATCTCCGAAGGCCTCCAAGCCCTCGACTCCCCACCAGGCACAAATGTAATCAAATAGAGGCCTTCTAAAAGCATTTGCGGAAAAGCACGTTTAGATTGGCAGGATGCTTTTCCGCAAAAGCACTTTTTACAGAAAAGCGTCCGTCGCCAATCTAGACACGGTTTTCTGCAAAAAAGCCCCGATCGCCATTTTCGCCATCGGGGCTTTTTTGCAGAAAACAGTCCTGTGCTGTCTACACTGGCCCTTTGGCGCAAAAGTCTTTTGGAAAAAGACTTTTGCACAAATGGGAGCAGCATAGTATTTGCGCAAGACCACTAACAATCTTAGATGAGATCGTCAGTGTCTTGCGGAAATTCAAGCCGTCAGTATAGACAGCTGGCAAGTTTTTCCGCAAAATCAGATGATTTTCCGGAAAAACTTGCCAGTCTAGACACAGCCACTATGTCTCACCCTCCTGTGCTGTTTCTGGTAGGACGTAGCTCCACGCACCCTCAGAACCCTTTTCTGTGGTGTTACCTCTGCTTCAGAAACACGTGGTGCCGTTTCTGATAATGACCGGGCGTCCCCATCCCCTTTCGTCTACTTCATCCTTCCCGACCAGGTGGAAATTGTGGATTTTGTCCACCCACTCATGGGCGTGGGCCCACCACATGCCGGTCACAACGACTGCACCAAATGGTTGTTCCTAGAGGATCAATTTCAATTCCTCCAACGTGGTCCCCAAACTCCTAGGTGTAGAGCAGGGGCAAGTTCAGAATATTTTCTCTTCAGGTCCTTGGGTTTCTTGCATCATTTTTTCTCAATGTGGTGCTGAGAGGCATTTCTTGTCTTTTTACCCTCTCCTGTGGCTATCAGTTTAATTCCATCCCACGTGTTCTAACCCAGGGTGTGTCAACCTTTTTTGATAAAGTACCCCTTTTTCAAAAAAAAGTTAAGTACTCCCAATACCTCCAGGTTTCAGGAATACGACGTCTTTTCAACACATTTGTTTGATCAACTTAATCATAGCTGGGCAGGCGATGACGTTTTTTGGGTGTAAAAAGTACAAAAAATAATAAAGCGCCGTAAAACAAAACAAAAAATCAGTTTTCTCCAGTTTTCAGTTGTGGGGACGTATCCCCAAACGTCTCTTGAGTACCCCTCAGGGGACTCATACCACTGGTTGAGAAACACTGTCTAACCAGTGTGTCCCGATCCAAAGCAGGCTTCTCTCCTCACCGCAGACTGGCTGATGTTCCACAGACCAAAGGAAACCCTCCACCCGCCTCTCCACCAATGTCAGGTTCCATCCTACCTCATCTCCGCCTGCATCTTAGCCTGATCCTGCCCTGCACCTCCACTCTCCTCCCCTCACACTGGCTCTCCAGCCTCCTGAGCTCCCTCCCATCGGCTCCAGAGTGAATTCCTCTGTCCTCACCACAAAGTGCTGAATTAGCTCCAGATGGGGAATGGGGAAGAGCAGGGAACGGGAGTTCTAGGCCCACCCTGAGGAGGGACGGTGGGTGTGTTCTGAATCTCAGCATCAATCTAGGACACCCAGGAAAAGTGCCCCACAGCAGGTGTGACCCCAAGAGTCTGTCCTGGGAGCCCAGAGCTAGGGGCAGTGGCTTGGAAGCTTGTGAGCCCCAGTAGACGCGTTTGTGACAGGGAAGTGACGACCCAGTGAGGATGTGTCACATGCAAAGGTGACAGGAAGCTGGTGCAATGTGATGTGCCCAACAGGGGGAGGGTGGTTGCCATATGAGAGTACCTGTAAGAAATGTGAGAGTACCTGTAAGAAATGTGAGTTACTTTCACCCTCCCCTTCTGCAGACATGGCCAATGGGCAGGAAATAACTGCATGGACTCCCCTCCCCCCAAAAGCCGAGGGGACACCCACACAGGCTGTGTGGGAGGGATGTGGCTTCTGGCTGAGACCCACAGAAACATCCGGGTCTTCAAGGGAGCTCTGGGCCGGCTTCTTTCTCACAGTTAATATTGTGGGGATAAGGCCACTCGGTGAGGAACGGCCCATGGCCCAGAGCACTGCACAGCTGGGACTATGGAGTGCACAGCTGGGGCTATGGAATGCACCACTGGAGCCATGGAATGCACCACTGGAGCCATAGAATGCACAGCTGGATCGAGGCCTACTTGGAGCTGAACCCAGGCAGCCCTGCAGCCCATGGAAAATCTCTTCACTCCTGCACTGGTGTGGTGGTGAATGTGGCTGGTGCTTCACTCACAGGAGGAGGAGGGGACACGACCCCAGCGGGAGATGCAGAAGGGGATTTAGAACGACTTAGTGCAGGGGTGGACCTGTGGGTTCCAGGCCTCAGATGAGGGGTTGTAGGGTTCCCTGCCCCTTCAATCCAGTCAGCCTCCCACATCTGGGTCCTTGTAGGGGAAGG